CGTCCGGAGGCTCGTGCGGAAAAGCGGGGGGCGGTTTTGGCCGGTAGCTGATGGTGTCACAAGGCCGGGAGGGAATCAGCAACAACAACAGTGTTCAACAGAGGTGAGTGGTGTTTAACGCAGGCGCAAACTAGCTAACTTAGCTGAGGTGTCACAACGCCCGGAGGAAATTAGCAACAGCAGCAGAAGTGTTCCACTTTTTTTTTTTTTACGCAAACTAGCAGTTGATGATTTCGCAGGGCCCGGAGGGAATCAGCAACGACAGCAGTGTTGAACAAAGGTGGGTGGGTGGTGGTAAGCCTTCGCAGTCCATCAAGTAAACATGATGGGTAAAGCATGCACTCGGGGAAGTTGGGGTCAGGTAAGGATTAGGGAATATGGTCTGCGTCCCCCCTCCCTGTTCTATTTTCCTCAATAAACTTAATTTCCCGCGAAGGCGGCCCGTTGTAAGGTTAACAAGTTTGTCTCAGAAGTCTACGTAGATGGAGATGGAGACAGGAGGGAGCCCTCATTACTCCTCATGATTATTTGCTCCAAACGTTTAGGCGTTCAGCGTGCCCTGTGCTAGTTGCTATCGTCATTTAAGTGCTTTTCCTACTGATCTCTGGTGTCTGTCGTTGTTGTTGCTACTATAATACCACTAATACCTGTTGCTGCTGCCGCTGCCCCAGCTGCGGTTTGTGTCATCGTAAGAGTTGGTGAACCGTCGCTGGGCGGCGGCGCCCTCACAAAAAAAAAAACGGCCGCCAAAAGTCTTTCGCTACCCAGGAACGCCGGTAAAGACACGCGTAATGCGACAACCTGCAGCAACAAACCGAAACTGAACCAAACAGGCAGACACACCGCAGGTGACATGAGAGATATCACACAACCTGCACCGATTTTCAAGGCTCAATTTCTCCACGACTAAGAGGATGTAAGAATCGTGAATGAAACGATGGATACGTTTTCGGAAAGACCATCGATCCCAACGCAGACATTAATTCCGGCACCATCATTGCACATTGCTTGAAGTGTTCGAGCTTCGAAAAAAGATCCAGGGGGTGTGGTGTTTTGTGTCATCTACGGCACCCCGCCGGCACCACGCAAGAGCCGGCGCTTTCATTCCGTGGCCAAGGCAACCGCAACGGACCAACAATCGCATGTACATGAGGGTGCCACCAAAGCAGGACCGCTTACAATACCCCGAGGCTCGCTTCTTCTTCTGTGAGTATTCCTGTGGCAGGCACGAATAAGTGAGCGCCCTGTTCGCATACTTGAATACACCACGTATTCAAACACTGCTGGTCGTCTCTTACTCTGGGGATAAGCAACCCAGCGACTGCTGTATAGGGGTTAGGACAGGGTATGGAGGGCCCTGTTCTAATGCAAAAGCATGCCAGGGATTCAAATACGTAGCCTGCTTAAGCCTGAGCTTCGCGACTCCTTGGTTTTCACCACGCGCGGCAAAGCAGGCAAGAAACCAAAACGACATCATTGAGTCTTCGCGCTGCAGCTATTGTCCAACTGCTGGACGCATGGGATTCATTTCGTCGGCGCAGCAACCAGCCACTCACACCCGTCGTCAACGAAAAAAAAAAACTCCGAAAAACT